TAAGATACTATGTCTATGACCAGAGACGTTCGTCCCGTCCAAGTCCCGTCCGGTCTGAACGCGTAGTGCATAGATAATATACTTGGCGTAGTGTTTCTATATAGTTTGTGGGCGCATTATAAAAAATTGTGTGTATTCTGTAATAATAAATTGTAATAATAGCAAGAGAATGGCCTAAAGGTCTATACAGGCTGGTGCAACTTCCATAGTAAAAATTATATGTACTACAGGGGTCAAATTTTAATGACGGTTACTCTTCTTTATGCTTTTCGTGATATGTCTATTAACGACATTGTCAAATGAAATAGGTTCAAATGTCAAATCAAACAATTATACTTACTTACTTACTTATCTTCACGCACAATCCCTGACGGGGTAGCCAGAGAGAACAGATCGCCAAGTGTCACGATCCTTACAAACCTCTTTCGCTTCTTTCAGATTCATTATCTTCTTCATGCATGCACGTCTAGGTATCCGAGTACTTTTGACCCTACCCTCTTCGAGCAATTTGCTCACATGGTCTTCGAAAGTTAGTCTCGGTCTACCTCGACACCTTTTAATATTAACTTTCGCGCTATATATTTTCTTCACCATTCGGTCTTCACTCATTCGCTCAACGTGCCCAAACCACCGAAGCACGCCCTTATCAATTTTTGTGATAAGGTCATCTTTCAAACCTGCCATATTGCGAATCTCTTCGTTTCGCTTTCGGTCGGCCATGGTAACGCCGCACATTTTACGAAGAGATCGCATCTCCACTGCATTCAACTTACTTTTATGCTTCTTCTGGCATACCCAGGTTTCGCTGCCATATAACAAAGTCGGTACCAACACTGCGTTATGTATTGCAAGGCGTGCACTCTTCGCTACGCCTTGCCTTTTGACTAACGCAGTCAGGGTACCATTGACTTTGTTCCCGGCAGCGACACGCCTGTCCACATCTAAATCACATCTTCCATCCCGGCTAAAAGCACTCCCCAAGTATACAATTTCATTTACCTGTTCTAGACATTCCTGATTTACCCATATTTCACACTTCGTTCTCTCTTCGTCCCTTTCAAATACCAGAACCTTAGTTTTATTAGCATTCAAACGGAGACCTTTAATTTCACATTCCTCTTTCATACACGTGACTAATGCCTGCAGTTCTGCCTCTGATGGTGCAATAAGCACTGCATCATCAGCATACAGCAGACAATTTACTTTAATGTCACCCAATTTCACACCCAAACAACTATCTTTCAGCTTCTGTAAACAGCTGTCGAGATACAGTATGAACAGCCAGGAAGACATGACACAACCCTGCTTTACGCCCGTTTGGACGTCAAACATGGGTGACAGGTCATGCCCTACCCGCACACAGGCTTTACAGTCACAGTAAAGAGACTGCACAGCCCTTAGCAATCGACCATCCACACCATACCCCGGCAACAGTTCCCACATTTTCTTCCTTACAACCTTATCAAATGCTTTCTCAAGATCCACAAAAGCACAGAAAATCTTCTGGTTAGCAGCCAGAAGCTTTTCCGTGATCATGCGGAGAGAAAACATTTGATCCGTGCATCCTCTTCCAGGTCTAAATCCGCATTGTGCCTCCCATAGAAATCTTTCCGATTTCTCTTGCATCCTACGTGTCAAAACCTTCGAGTAAACTTTACTTGCTAAACTGGTCAAGCTGATCGCCCGATAGCACCCGCAGTCAAAATGTGAACCTTTACCTTTATATAAAGGCACAATGACTGCGGATCGCCAATCATCCGGGACATCCCCCGTCCGCCAGCACAAATTGCACAGCAGATGAAAGCTGTCCCAGACGCGAGGCCCACCATACTTGACCATTTCAGCAGTAACTCTGTCTAGTCCCGCAGCCTTACCACATTTCAAACTTCGAATCGCACGTTCAATCTCTTTCATACTGATGACCTCAGTGTCATCGAGGTCCGGGTCTGGCGTACCAGTCACGGCGTCATCCCCGGATCCCTCACTAAGATCATCATACGCATACATTTCTCTATAAAATTCGCTCCATCGCTGCATGACGTCCGATTTTTTTGAGAGGACGTCATTAGTTCTCGAAAGCACTTTGTTCATTCTTAAGGCTGTCGCACCACTCCGGGTCCTTCCAACCTCTTTCCAGAAGAGTTTGGAGTTCTCCTTAAAGTTGTGCGACAACCTTTCGTCCGCTTCCATTCTACACCTTTCACGCACTTCCTCAATCAATGCTTTCGTGTGAACTTTCTGCAGCCTATATCTTTCTTTCATCTTCTCTCTCATATCCTTATCATTACTAGAGGCCAAGTAGTCTAACCATGCTTTCTTCTTCTTTTTTACAGCTTCTTTCACTTCATCATTCCACCATGCATCTCTTCTTTTACTACTGCCTCTTTTTATTGTTCCACACACTTCTTCCGCTGCACTTACCATTCCATCCCTAAGGTTCTGCCAAGTTCTTTCTACACATTCTTTTCTGCCATCGATGGTGTCAAGCTTTTCGGCTACCCTCGCATGATATTTGTCCCTAGTATCCGCTTCCTGAAGCTTCCAGCTTCGGATGCGACAGACCGACTGTGGTTCTGTTACTGCCGTCCGGTAGCGCCAACCCGCGAACAGACCCCTAAATCTAGTAATCACTAGATAGTGATCCGTTCCCAGGTCAGCACCCCTGAACACTCGCGTATCCATCACCTGTTTTCGCAGTCGGTCATCCACCAGGAACAAATCAATCATACTTCTCTCATTCTTTCGTTCTCTAGTATACATATGGATTTTCTTGTGATTAAACATAGTGTTTGTCACAAGAAGACCCTTTTCCTTGCACACCGCCAGTATAAGCTTGCCAGCATCATTAACCCTTTTATCGCCAAACTTTCCAAGTACCGACTCGTACCCTGGTCGAGCGGTACCAACCCATCCATTCAAATCACCACATACAACAATTCTTTCGTTTCCCCTAGCCAAATCTAGAACTTCTCTTACATTCTCCCAAAACTCCTCCAGCTCAGCCCTGGACGACGAAGCTACCGGCGCATAAACCGCCAAAAGGAATAACTTCGTCAGTCCCAATTTAAAGCGAACCCAGAGAAGTCTTGAGTTCACAACCTTATATTCAGTCATAACATCGACCAACCGAGAAGACAGCAGCACCCCCACTCCCTGGCAGGCGTTCTCGCTCTCCGGGACTCCTGACCATAGAGCTAACGCCCCGCCAGGGAGCTCTTCAGTACCACTGCCCTTCCGTTTGGTCTCCGACATACACACGACATCTAATTCTCTTTCTTTCATTATTTCGATCAACTCATTCGTCTTATCTCTCATGCCTCCTCTAACATTCCACGTGCCAACTCTGCACTCTGTCCTCCACCTTCCGCCGTGTCGGGCTGCGCGTGACGGGTGGCGGTCCCCATCGCCGCTTTGCACGCTGCATTCCACACCAACGGGGACGAGCTGGTGTGCGTCGCCTTGGGGGGACGCCCTAACCCTCGTTGGCATGGGTGCGCAGCTAGTAGAATTGCAGCCCTGAAAAGGGCTGGCAGGGGTCGCGACGAGCACGCTTCTACAATGACCCCCTAAACAATTATAATTTGTATATATTTTATTAATTAAGATTAATAAAATATATACAAATAAAAACTTTTAATTTTGCTATAGGAGCCGTTGTTCATTTACAGAATTGTTAATAAATTAAATATGCATTATAAAACTTTCCAATTAAATGGTGCAAGAAGCGGAAAAAATGATAACAAGAAAAGGCTATTCGTAACAATATTTCCCATAGATGATGAAAGGTATGTGGTGATTTCAACTTTAATAGTAATATGATATTCAACGCGAGTACATTTTTGGACTAGCCATCTATGTAGGACATGTTTTTATAGTGTACGATTGTGTGCATAAATACAAATGATTCGATGGTTTGGCAATCCGAAACGAACTTTACTTAGAAACTACAAGTCAATTCTGACTGCTAACATTCTATTTGTTCAATAATAATGTGATTTTATTTATATTATTTTTTCAGAGGCAAGCAATGGGTGAAATAGCTGGCACATGCACCAATTGAAAAGATTCACATGTTAAGACATGTTTGTGACAAACATTGCATATGAACCCAACTAAAACGAACTGTTATTTCTTTAGTGGACTTACTTTAAACTTCCAAAATTTATGTGTATGTTAATTAGGTTTTATTTACATGTAGCAAAAGATAATATGCCTCTAAAGTCACATTTTGGCAAGAATTAGATTATATAACTAAATCATTATTTTATTCATCAATAAACATTAGCTATAATGAGCACTTATTTTGAAAGCGACAATTAGTAAACGATCTCTGCGAATAGTATGTATATAGGTGCCTCTGTGAAGAAGTCTAGCGATTTGTACATAGTATTTGTTACACATAAAAGCAATTTAATCCAATCAGTATTAAAAACCCAATATTTTTACCCTTAAAAAAACTAACGTTGAAAACAAGCATCCAGACGCAGACTATTTATTTTACAGCATAGCAACAATTGTTCAGTGCGGGAAGGAAGCCTCGGTCCTGCAATGCCGCAGCCAAACGCTTAGCCACTGCGCTACGGAGTCGTCATTTATTTTTTACTTAATTAATTACTAGTATAAAAGTGCGTTTTTTATTTTATATTTTCTTTATACATACTTTTGTACCTAATTGTAGAGATATAAATACAAATTGCTGTGTGTAAAATACATTGATTTCTTATCCTCATCGGCATTTTTACTCAATCCACACGTTAAAAATTTTATTTCTCATAAATAATTCAGTATAGAGATCTAATTTTTCTTATGTAAAAATATCGATAAAGGTTGTATCGATAAAATTATTCGAGGATAGACATTTACAGCACTATTGTAATTCGTCAATGTTGTCAGCACTGTTTCTCAAAACTAAATGTCATATCTTGATGTTGGTAGAGTAACTTGGCGTAATTTCATGCAATTATTTTTACCACAGAGTACTTTTATATATATAGATTTTTACTATGGAAGTCCCGCCTCTTAAACGTAGTGATTATATTCTCTTTGGGTCTATATACCAAGCAATAAACTCCAAAAAAAAAATTACAAGAGAAAAGTCCGGTTTGTTGATGAAAAAGAGAATTCAATAATCAATTTTAATAAAGCTATAGAAAACAGCAATGGCCTTTAGTGAAGGTGAAGTTTGTAGAATTTGTTTAAGCGTTAATATACGCATGTTTGCACTAAAGGAGACTGGCCTCCAAAATTTGTATAAGACATTGACGAACAGTTTTGTAAGTTTTTTAATATTTATTTATTGCTAAATGAAGTTGCGGTAATTTATTGTTATCACTGGAGAAATACATTATGTTGCCCGATATATGTTCTAAGATGTAGTGTTAAATATAATGACAAATACAACCAGAACCTGAAATATAACAATTAGCCTGGTATCCTGGGTCGCACTAAAATCAGTATTATCATTTAAGTAAAGCCTAGTAGGATATATACTTGGGTACGCAAGGGGCGGCATGTTGCGCAACATGTCTCAACTAATACGTGGAATGTCCCGAGACATGTCGCGGAACTTTTTGCAGGCCACACTAGTCAGTAGTCAGTGCTTATAGAAATGTCTCCCAAAGAGGTTGTGGCGATTAGTGCTGTGTACGTAGTGCTTATTGCGGGAGTGAAACGTAAGCGAAAGAAAAGGTGGTGGATTCAGAATTCCTTACTACAATGAGAAGGAAGAGGAATTGATATTTTAAGTGATCTCCGAATGTCTGACGGATCTTTTGTGAATTTTACTCGATTGTCAACATCTGATTTTGAAATGTTATAACAAATGATCGGACCTTCCATAACCAAACAGGATACTATACTATGGAATGCTGTTGCCCTCATATCAGTATCAGACTTGCCATTGCATTAAGATGACTTGTTGACTAGAGTTTTTTATGCTTCTTTGTCATACACTTTTCGAGTGTTGAAACAACTGATCGGCAGAATAGCATCAGAAGTTAGTGGTTAGAAGTATCCCATAACAAAATACGACTCTGGTAAAATTCAAGAAGTAAAAGCACGGTTTAATTTCCCCACACAACTGACATGTTGTAAGTAAAGTTGTACACACAACTACACCCGGTAACAAATGACGTGACACTGACGCCAGACACGTGTACTCTCTCTCGGAGAGGGAATAAGCAACATGTCCCATGTCACTTACAATGTTCTGGGTCACTGTGCAATGTAGCATTGTCATGTAGATTGAGTGTTTCACATCATTTTGCGGGACAAAATGGCTCCAAGTGTATCTGGGTCTTAGTTTAGTATAGTTTACAACGGGCTGATTTCCGCAACTCCACGTCTATGTATGTATTTTACGTGTGGGCAAGAATAATATGCTTATTCGAGCCATGAGATCTCCCCGAAGAAGCTCAACAGTCCTTTCATGTTGCATGCAACTTCGGGGAGTGATCTCGTCATGCCAAGATGTTTAGCCCTGTACGTAGCGACCTCCGGACATTTCAATATCACATGGGCCGCCGTTTCTTCTTCCCCCAGACATGCCCTGCACAGGGGATTATCTGTAACACCTATAATAAATAAATGCTTGTTAAAGTTGCCATGTCCTGTGATAGCACTTGCTATATCCTGATCTGCGGCTTGTTCAGTCTCATTAGAACTTTGGTTAAACAACTGTTTATTTCAGGCAGGGCCTCCCTAGCTTGTCTACAGTCTACTAGATTTTTCCAAAGCTGAGCATGTAGATTAGTGAAGTGTCAAATATCTGGGTCTTAATTGTACTACATTCTCCTTCCATTCCTTCCATGCAACCCGCACTGCTGCATAGATTTTGTTCCTGGTGTCTGTTCTAGTACATATTACTTGAATGACTATTATTATGATTTTTTATCAACAAATTAACATTTAACCTGGTTTGGTTGTTCAGCAAAGTAAAACAGTTCTATCGGACTATTAAAATGAGAGAATAGAGTAGAAAGAATTATTATCATTATTTTATATGTGGTAGAGCCAGACTGCAGCTATATTATGGTTGTATCATGGATGGGTCGGCTCGACCGGGGTGGTACTACACTTTCACAGAATGTGTAGTACCACCCACCACCCTGTGTTTTGTTTCAATATCCTCCTACCACAAGCATTATCAGTTTACTTAGAGTGATAAGAGAAGTATTTGTAATGTTCTTAGTAATGATAGCAGTTTGAAGTTAATGTAGGTAATGTAGTTGATGGATGTAGGTGGCTTGGAACTGTAGGAGTTTCTTTCTGCCTAGATATCATTCTCTTACCATTTTCTGGCACCAAGCAGCAGTATGTGTCCCAGTCTGAAGGACATCGAGAGCCAGGCTGTGATGCATTACATCTTAGTCTTCAGAGGTAACATTGCATCTATAGCCATTGCTTGTCACTTACTAGATGGTAAGTTTATTTGTCACTTCAATATTATAAAAAATAATGTTGACAAATTAAAATATGCTAGCCAATAATTTTTATTACAAACTTATATACACTTATGTATTTGAATACTATTTCGTATTTATAAAGATTTTCATATTTTCAGTTGGATGAGATTGAGGGGCCAATAATTGTCTGTTTCACCTGTCATGCAAGACTCATTCGTTGCAGAAGATTACAACAACAGGCTATTGAGTCAAATGTGGTTCTGGAGCAGTTGCTTTCAGGAGGATCCATGGTATTATCCATTCCATCTATTAAAACCTATAAAAGTCCACTGCTGAACATAGGTCTCACTCATAGATTGCTTCATAGGAGGGATTTAACCAAATTTGCCACACTTGGCAAGTTGGCAACCGTAGTTTATATTAGTCTAAGTTGTCATCAGGAAGATGCGGCCGCCCTACCTCTGTTTCTGTTTCCTTCTGTTGCCATCCCATGGATAGGTATATGGGATAGTGCAGGGGTCGGCAACCTGCAGCTCGCGAGCCACATGCGGCTCTTTGGATGTGAAGCTCTTTAGTTTCATACGCAAATATTATTTATTTTATAAAAAAAAATTATAAATCGATCCATATGATCCATCATCAATTTAAAAAGTAAAGCTTTGTGGAGTTGAAAATTTACAGAGTTGATAAGGAAGTTGAAAAAGTCGGAGGTCCAGAAATGTATGTACGTAACGCAACAAAAATGAACAGCTTTAAAAGAAAGGCTGCGAGTTGAATTATATTTGACGCATGGAATAGTCTTCCAGATTGCTATAGTGAGGTGAAGAAGTTGGCATTTGGAGTGCTGACTATCTTCGGATCGACATATTCGTGCGAGCAAGCGTTCTCTTGCATGAATATAATTAAAAGTAAAGTAAGAAGCCAACTAACAAATGAAAATTCAGATTCGTTTTTGAAACTTAAAACAACAAGTTATGAGCCAAATTTATCCAAACTTTCTAAAACTATGCAAAGCCAAAACTCGCATTGAATTTGTTTGCTCAATTGTTTGTACTTGAAATATAAGTAAGTGTTGTAAGACTTACAATGTAAATAAATGTTTATTTACAGATATCCTGAATCTGAATCCAAAAGTTGTTGAGACTCGATTCTCGGGATAGATGAACTATGTACATTCTTATTTAAGTTTACGCTGAACCCTCACTTTTGTTCGGTGTTTATTATTATTTGAAGTTGTTGTCAGGAAGATGCTGCCCCCCGATCTCCTGTTTCAGTTTCCCTCTGCCCCTTTTTACGACATCTGTGGGATGGCAGGGGGTGGTATGGGTTCTCCTACTCCACCACTATAGTGGCTTTTTCTCTTATTTGAAAAAATTATTTCCTTTCAGTCAATACCAAAACCGCATAAGGTTAGAGGTGAGATTAAATTCACACCAATTTATCATATAGATATCTGGCCTGTACAGTGTGATATAGACAATGATTGCAAGGACGAAATTTTTTGCCTTGATGCCGTTAAAGTTGAGGAAGAGATTTTCGAATATGAGAATTCCAAATTTGAAGAAAATGAGAATCATGAAACAGGTAAGATATACCCGTTTTCTTGATATTATTAAAATAAGGTAAAATTTACCTTATGGCAAGTAGTTACTGTAGCCCGTAGACACAAAATAAAGAGGGCTTCATGTGTAATGTACTGATTTACTGATTTGCCTTTGTCTAAATTCAAAGTGCATGTCAAAGGCACAAAGATACATACTGGTAAGCAACAAATTATCTTTGCCATCTTCTTAGTGCCAGTACTAGGTGGTGTGACTCCATGTTTGAGTTGATCTATTTGTGCCTGCCCAGATGGACTCCTCCCTTCTCTTCTTACCTATTTCTGCCGTCAAATAGCAGTGTGTGCACTGCTGTGTTCTATTCTGATGGTATAGAGTCAGAATAATCACAGGCTGTGTGTCATTTCATTTTAGTTGTGGTAGAGCCATGCTGCAGCTATATTAGTAGTATAGTTATAGCACGAATGGGTTGGCTCGACCAGGGAAGGATCACGCTCTCACAGAATACCAGCGTGAAATAGCAGCTTAACACTGCTGTGTTTCGTAGGGTGATTGTAGAGAACCGGATACCCTTTTTACTGGAAAAGAGGCATTCCATCGTAGTCCTCATGGGTGACAATGCATCTGCATTTTGATTCTTTATTGAGGACAGATGTAGTTTTCTATGGGACACAGTGACCATTTACCATCGTGTGGACTGTGTGCTCGTTTGTCACCCTATCCTATAAAAATTAAAATGAAAAGATGTGCGCATTGCATCATTAAATCTTCATCATTACAGCCTTCACAAGTCCACTGCTGAACATAGGTCTCAGCCACGGAATGCCACAAAACACAGGAATCCATCGCCTTCCTGCATTTCTTACCAGGTCGTCATTCCATCTAATGGAGGGCCGCCCTACACATTGTTTACTGGTACGAGGCTGCCACTCGTAAAACTTCCTCATTCATTGTCATTTCTGCGAGCTATATGGCCGGAATTTCAAATTTCAAAGAATTATTTCAATATTTGAAACCATGATGTTGAAAGTAACTACAACAGAAGTGAGACGACGGGCCCGTGCTTGTGTTAGTAATCGCATCAATTATTTTGAGTATCAACAAATAAATAATTAGAATTTTTATTAGTCTGCCTAAAAATTTAAATTTTCTACCTCAATCGGGTTTTAGGAGACAATTGAAAAATTTGTAACAAATGCGTGTAAGTTATACCTCAAATGAAAGAGTAATAACCAAGTATGTTTTCAAAAAGGTTGTAACAATAAATTAAAGTACCATCAGTTTTTTTTTAACGTAGTGTCAAAAATGTTAATTATGTTTCTTTAAATCGTAGAAATTTTCGTGAACTTAGTGTCTGTACAAAAATATGTCTGAAGACACAGATGCTGAGACTATGTTTTCTTAGATTTCTTATTCATTACTTAAATTAAAAAAAAACAGATGTTAATTAAATTGGCAATTATTAGCAATTAACTGTAAAAATTTTAGTTTTATCACCAAAAACAAAAAGTATAGTCAGACTGTCCAAAATAATTATGGCCTAAATGATCTTCTTCAATCAACAAGTCAATCTTCCAATCATTCTGTATAATGCTTGTCCCGTGTGCGATTCGAAGCATCTATTATTAGATTAATGTAGGTAATTGTAACATGGTGAGAAGAACGTCATCATTATCATTCGAATTTAGTTTGTCTACCATTCTTTCCCTCCAAAAATGAATATGAGAGACATTATTAAAAGTAAAATACTTTATATCTAGCAACATTGTATAATTATGTAATTTTATAATTTATCTATTTCTCCCTGGTTGACTGATAGAGAATGTGTTTAAGGTGTCTTACAATAAAAAGTTTTACTTATAATAAATTAAATGTTCAATTCGCGTGTATTTCAGAACCATACATCATACCGACAAATCATTTTTCAAAAGCGTCTGAGAGCAAGATTAAATCAAATTCTACTGATTGTAACATAAACGATGTTCGTAAAGGAAACCTCGATTTAGAAAGCCCTACTATTAAATCAAAGCCTAAAGTCAAAAAAGATAATCAACCAATTAATAAAAAAAGGAAAGCATCCTGCAAATATTATAAGAAAGAAAATATTGAAACAAAAGAGTGTAAATATACTTACGAAAATACGTCAGGGGCATCAACAAAATACATATTTGAATGTTATGCTTGTAGCAAAAAATTTTCAACAAAAGACATTCTCGCCAAACACATTTCATACAGTCATAAGACGCAAAAGAACCAAAAGAACACCACTGCAGTTCGGACACAAGTTGAACAAACTCCAGTACCACAACTAACTGAAATATTTAATTGTGATATTTGCGAATTTAAAACATCTCAAAAACTTTGCATTTTGGCACATCTTAACGCGCACGTCGCTGAACAAGTGTACTGTTGTAATAATTGTGATTATAAAACTATTAAAAAAGATAGTTTGCAGAGACATATGAAAATACATACTGGAGAAAAACCTTTTTCATGTAATATCTGTGGATATAAATGTATTGATAAAAGTAATTTGCGGTATCATATGAAAATTCATACTGTAGAAAAACGTTATTCGTGTAATATCTGTGAATATAAATGTATTTACAAAAGTAGTTTGCAATCACATTTGAAAATACATACTGGAGAAAAACCTTTTACGTGTCATATCTGTAAATATCAATGTATTCGAAAAAGTAATTTGCAAAAGCATATGAAAATACATACTGGAGAAAAACCTTTTTCATGTAATATCTGTGAATATAAATGTATAGAAAAAAGTAATTTGCAAAAGCATATGAAAATACATACTGGAGAAAAACCTTTTTCGTGTCATATCTGTAAATATCAATGTATTCGAAAAAGTGATTTGCAAATACATATGAAAATACATACTGGAGAAAAACCTTTTTCGTGTCATATCTGTAAATATCAATGTATTCGAAAAAGTAGTTTGCAAACACATTTGAAAATACATACTGGAGAAAAACCTTTTACGTGTCATATCTGTAAATATCAATGTATTCGAAAAAGTAATTTGCAAACACATATGAAAATACATACTGGAGAAAAACCTTTTTCGTGTCATATCTGTAACTATCAATGTATTCAAAAAAGTAGTTTGAAAACACATATGAAAATACATACTGGAGAAAAACCTTTTTCGTGTCATATCTGTAAATATCAATGTATTCGAAAAAGTAGTTTGCAAACACATATGAAAATACATACTGGAGAAAAACCTTTTTCGTGTCATATCTGTAAATATCAATGCATTCGAAAAAGTAGTTTGCAAATACATATGAAAATACATACTGGAGAAAAACCTTTTTCGTGTCATATCTGTAAATATCAATGTATTCAAAAAAGTAGTTTGAAAACACATATGAAAATACATACTGGAGAAAAACCTTTTTTGTGTCATATCTGTAAATATCAATGTATTCGAAAAAGTAATTTGCAAACACATATGAAAATACATACTGGGGGAAAACCTTTTTCGTGTCATATCTGTAAATATCAATGTATTCGAAAAAGTAATTTGCAAACACATATGAAAATACATACTGGAGAAAAACCTTTTTCATGTAATATCTGTGAATATAAATGTATAGAAAAAAGTAATTTGCAAAGGCATATGAAAAAACATACTGGAGAAAAACCTTTTTCATGTAATATCTGTGAATATAAATGTATAGAAAAAAGTTATTTGCAAAGGCATATGAAAATACATACTGGAGAAAAACCTTTTTCGTGTCATATCTGTGAATATAAATGTATAGAGAAAAGTAGTTTGCAAAGGCATATGAAAACACACACTTGAGCAGAACCTTTTTTGTGAGAGATCTGGTAAAATATGTGCAATATTATGTAAACGTGTTTTATATAAATATAAAAGTATACTAGATAAACATCCATTTGTCATGAGTTCCTTATGTAACTGTAGAACGAGTAGAAAAACCTTTCCGTGTCATATGTGCTAATTGAAACTGCATTTATTCTAAAGAAGCTAATTCAAAAACCAAAGAAGCAACCAAGTGAAATCGAACCTTGAAATATGTATAGAGTGGTTAGTGGAAACAGACCAGACCTTCCTTTTTTTATTTAAATTTAAATGATGTCTTACTTATTTCGTTTCGATGTTTATCGTTACTGTTACAGCCTATAAAAGTCCGCTGCCTAACATAGGCCTCCCCCACGGATTGACTCATAGGGGGGATATTTGCCATAGTTGGCATGCAGATGGGTTGGCAACCGCGGTTTTTTATTTTAATTTGTTATTAGGAAGACCACTTACCAACAGGTGGACTGTGTGCTCGTTTGTCACCTTTACCCTATAAAAAAAAAGCGGGTGGAAAACCGGTACTTAAGTCCTTCAGAAGCTCTTTAACCGACATAGCCCAACGGATTAGTAAGCTGAAGTGACAATGGGCCGGCCATATAGCTCGAAGAACCGATAGCCGATGGGGAAATAAGGTTCTAGAGTGGCGGCTTCGTTCCGGCGGACGAAGTGTAGGGCGTCCCCCCACTAGATGGAGTGACGACCTGGTAAGACATGCAGGAAGTCGATGGATGCAGGTGGCTCAGGACCGTGCTTTGTGGCATTCCTTGGGGGAGGCCTATGTTCAGCAGTGGACTTGTGAAGGGCTGTAATGATGATGATGATGATAGATATAAGAATATCCACTACCCCTTATCATCGGGATGATAAGGGGTAGCGCCCCTACGACACACACGGGTGTGTGTCGTAGAGGCGACAGAAAGAAACAAATCAGAAGACGTGCAGCAGCGTATTCCTACTAAAATAAAAAAGTCTGTGTTGCCAACCCGCTTGCCAAGCGTGGCAACTATGGCAAATGTCCCCCTATGAGGCAATATATGCGGGAGGCCTATGTTCAGCAGTCGACTTTAATAGGCGCTAACAATAATAAAATAAACGTTGAAACGAAAAAAAGGATAAACATTAGCAATCATTTAAATAAAAAAAAAAACATAGTCTGGGCTGTTTCCACTAACCTCCCATTTGTTTCATATTTTAAAGTTCAATTTTTTTGGTTTTTGAATCAGCTTCTTCAGAATAAATGCAGTTTCAATTAGCACAATACAAGGCACGGAAAAGTTTTTCTACTCTGATCTATTATTCTGTACAAGATGGCTTTTGTAGTCGAGTTATTAATTCATTTCATATTTACACTGTAAAATGTCCAGACTGAATTCGGAGTGAAACTGAAACATTAAACTCCTGCCGTGGCAGCTAACTATAAATTAAAGTGAAAGAAACTTACTTCACTACTATTTTTTTTTATTTCAGGTTTACTTTGATCTTATAGATTATCTTATGCTAATGAAGGAAATGTTTAAGTACTGTAAGGCAGTTTTCTTGCAGAGGCTTTGTTTAGTTAGGTGTTGTTGTAAAGTGAAATGTATCTTCACGATTGTTTGAACTTTTTGTTAAATTCTATATAAGTCAAAGACTTGTGTACTACTCGAGCGGCAATTCAGAATAAAAACCGTGTGACAGCTGTGGATCGCGGGTAGCCGGCACGGTAAATATGCTGGTTACGGTGGCAACCATGGCAACGGCGGGGCAGGGGGTGCTAAGGATCTCCGGTGGAGCTTTGGTTGCCAACTAAGACGACTCCACCTGGCTACATATAACGCACGTACCCTGACGACCGACGAGGAGATCCTGGAGCTGGAACAAGAGATAGATAAGTTGCGCTGCAATATTATAGGATTATCTGAGGTCCGAGAGGGGAAGAGAGAAAAATGAGGCCTTATCATTTATATGTCATTTATTCATAAGAAAAACCTATACATAACATACACAAATATATTGATACATTCGTTATTAATAAACTATACATTTATAAGTATTTCTGGAATACATTCATAACTATGAACTTAACTACTAAGCCATAGCATAAAATAAATTTTCCCGTTAATCGGGTAATAGTTAAGCTGCTGGCATATACAATAATTTTTCACGCACACTAGCATCTTTACAAATTGTCTCATGCCCAATTTCACCAACATCCCCTAAACAATCACATAGTTAGACGACCGATAAGCTAAAAGGTCCCCTAAACCAACCCATAACTAAAATTTGTTTTCACGAACACAACAGACCCATAGCTAGGGGGCCCAGTTATAGTTACCGGTTTTATCGGAAATGATATATATTAACCCTTTCACCGCCGCGCTTTAGTTGCCGTGGAGTGTCTCCAGCGCCACGAACTTTTATTTAATATTTTGCATAGTGTTGGAACAACCATTTATCGATAAATGAAACAAAGCTTTAAAAATTATAGATTATTATTTATTTTAATCAACATAACATTCTTCTTATTGGTATTATAACTAGCTTTAATCAATCTTAATTTTCATTAATCACATTGCACTTAATCAGCGTTAATTCTCTTCATAAAACTAATCAATATTCAGGAGATGGGCGTGGACCTTGATCTAATATATGTAGCTCGTTCCGAGCGTTATACAGGGTATTTTTGGAACGCTCCCGAAAACTAAGACAGGCGACAGCACCAAGTATACCTTTGATCATGGGTCATAAATAAATTTGATCCTGATGAAAAAAAAACATATTTTTACAACGTTTTATTAGCTTTATTCACGCGCCATCATGTTAGTACAGCTAAATGAAACGATAATTTCATAAAAAAAAAATCATGAAAATACTGAAACATAAAACCAGCAGTGGAAACTGAATTGATATCACCTGACTAATGGAGGTTAATGTACGCGCGAACGATGAAAAAAGAACACTGGCCTTGAACTTGGGCACTGAGCGATTTATCACATATTGGCCAGTATTACTGTGCCTGCATGCTATTGGTTCCCGCGCTTTCTTCGCTCCAAAAATACAGTCGCATACACAGCTTACTTTGCGACTCGCGACGATGTTTTAAAAAGTAAGGAAAAAAAATTATTTATATCTATTGTTTTATGACTAAACTAGTGAACGAAAAGGTAAATATGATAGGAGAAGGTGAATGGGGAAAATTGTGCAGTAAAGTTAAAATTGTTGAGGAAGAATACCGA